AAAGAAAGTTTCCTTATGTATAAACCTTCCCTTGACTGTTTACAATAGTGGACTAATACAGTATTTGTCTCTCTGTGACTGACTCATTTCACTAGACATGATGTCTTCCAAGTTCTTCCAAGTTATGCAGTGTTTCACAGATTGTGTTGACTTTGACAGGCATTTTCATCACACTAAAAATTCTTACCCTTATTCTGATATTATAAAAAGAGAGCCACTTAATACAGAGAAGTAAAAGTAGAAATCAAGAGGTGATTATCTAATGGTATTATGTAATTTTTAATTTCCCAGTTATGTCTCCAGAAGTTTTGTAGAAAACCAAAGTAATGGCTGATTTCTCTACATAGGTACTTTTTGGTGCTTCATCTCTCTAGAATTTCAAATGATTTAAATTATACTATTGACAAAGGATCCTTGGAATCAGCAACTCTTCACTCTTCCCAAAGGAAGTACATTTTAAAAGGATTTTGTAAATGAAAGAATAGCAGCTTTAGGATTTTAAAAACCTGATTTTCGGATTTGTTGCTGCAGCTTGGCTTTTGCTAAGTCACATCACTCTTATGAGCTTCAGTTTCCTTGTTTGTAAAATGAGGGGGTTGAATTAGGCTATTTTTAAGTTTCCTTCAGCTCTAAAATTTCAAGGCTTTATGTATAAGCACGAAGTAGGAGAACAATTCCCGAGAGAGATGAAACATTCTGATTATATCTGAAATCTATGTAGAGGGAGGTTACCTTGTCAATATTCAGAGGAAGTACATATCTCCTAACTTCAGGTTGGGGAGACTTTCTGGCATTTTTTTTTACCTCTTCCCAGTTCTCACGTAAATTGGCTAAATATAAGTAATTATAAACAAATTCAAACCTGCAAAAATTAAAAAGTGAAGTGAAATAGGAGACAATTAAAAGTAATTTTAGAGAGAGATGATTCATACCTTTTAAAAGTCTAAGTCCTTGCCATTCTTTATTCCACAAATCAGAAAATGCTAATGACCCGAGTATATTGGACCCAATTTGTACTACCCATACCAAACCAAACCCACTGTCGAGTTGATTCTGACTCAAAGGGACCCCTTTGGATTCCCAAGGTTGTAAATCTTTATGGAAGAAGTTTACCTCATCTTCCTTCCATGGAGCAGCTGGTAGGCTTGAACCACCAATCTTCTGGTTAGCAGTCAAATGCCTTAGACACTGTACCACCAGAGCTCCTTTCTACTACCCACACTTGGTGAAAAAAGAAACCTGTCTCATGGATATGTTTAAATCACAGTAGCTTTAGCTACTTTGTGTTCTGCATTTTTTTGGTCACCATTCTGTCTGTGTCTTTTGGAGCTACTGTCTTTTTTAGTGACTGGGCTATTTTGTAAAAAGCTTGTCTCCCATTCAAAGCCTCCCAGCAATCTTGCCAAGTTTAAGTTCATGGTTGGTAAAGTAGAGGGTCAGTGAAAATGAGGACAACTCTCAATTAGATGGATTGGTACAATAGTCAAAACAATGGACTCCAAAATATCAGCAGTCATGAAGACTGCATAGGACTGGCAACATTTGTTTCTGTCATATATAAGGTCACCAGAGGTTGGAGCTGACTCAACAGCAACTAACAGCAATAAGTTTGAATGAATTTATCAGGTCACCAAAAAACTACTTGCCATAGAGTCCATTCTAACTCATGGCAACTCCTTGTGTGTCAGAGTAGAATTGTGCACATTAGTATTTTGAACCTTTCTTCTGACATGCCTGGGTGGACTCAGACTTCCAATCTCTCAGTTAGTAGCTGAGCATGTTAACCATTTGTACTACCCAGGTCACAAAACCATCTGGGGTCTAGTTCATGGACCTGATCAGTTTTCAACCATTAACCCTAGTTTTGATGTTCATTTTTGTGTTTCTGATTATCTAAACTCCCTATTGCTTTTTCATTTATATTTTATGACTTTATCTTCCCTCTTGCTTTTGTAGACGTGATTCAGATTAAATATTAAGAGCAGCATCTCTGTAAAAGGCTCCTCATTTTTAGGAACAATTGTAGAGATGACATTTATCCAATATCCTTTCTTACCCTTTCCAGCAACAGAGATCCACAACCAGAAATCCATTGTCTTCATAGGTGTTGATGTGATGGAAGAGGTTAAAAGAAGAAGTCCTATATTTATTATTATTGAGGTATTTTCCTCTTTTTTTGTCAGCAACATGAATCCAAACCTTGAAAAGTGATGAAAATATTTGGATGCATATAAAAAGGAGAAAAAAAAGTATACATTATGAAACACATCTTCAGAATTGCACACTTGACACATAATATGGGACTTATTAGATGCTGTCAACTTCGCCCCTGATCCATAGTGACCCCCCATTCACAACAGGAAGAGACCACTCTGGTACATGGGGTTTTCATTGGCTGAGTTTTTGAAAGCAGGGTGCCAGGACTTTCTTACTGGTTGATATTAGCCGGGAAACTTCACTGAAATCTGTTCCCCATCATAGCAACAGGTGAGCCTCCACTGAGATGGGTGGTAGCTAAACTTGAGATACATTGGCCAGGAATCAAACTTGGGTCCCCTGTATGGAAGGTGAGAATTCTACTACTGAACCACCTTTGCCCCTCATATAAGACTTACCCCCATTGTTTCATTGGACTCAAAGCAATCCATATAGTTGGCTCCCCAAAGACTCCATGAAGAAAGGAACTTGAACAGGTTAATTTTGACTGGTGTCTCCACAAACACAATATAGTTGGGAGTCAAACCAAAACTGTTCAGAAACACAAATGGGCTGGTGAATGGAACGGGCCAATTTTCAAACCATAAAAACAAATGCACATAGAGGTATGCTTAGTTACATGAATCAACAGTGCCTACATAAAATCAATTACATTTAAATTTTCTGCAACAAAATGCTATGATCAGGATTGGTATCAAAGGTAGGCAAAGCAAATCTTTCAGTTTCAGTTTTCCTGAAGATTCATAGCAGGCCTTCAAGTTACCTATGGACGTAAGATGGCTTGAATCGGTCACTGCAGGGGAATTGTACAACGACCTCTGACTTGCTTATTGGATCTTGCTTGTCTGGAATAAAGTGGGTTTAAAAGGCTTTGGAACAGCCTTTTTATTTTATTTTTTATACAGAACACTTAGAACGGTGAAGAAATACATTTTCAGATCTTGACTTTTGTTCAGAGCTTATTGTCATTTTCTCATTCATTGGCATTTCTTAACAAAATTCACGTAAAGCTACAATAACCCGGGAAAATCAAAATGGTGATGGTGAAAAAGCATTGAGCCACTTCTTACAACAACCAGGGGTGAGTTCTAATCAGGTGAGTAAGGCAAAACTTGACTATAATTAAAATTCCCTTCCTAATTCCTTAAATTGCCTATAAAGTATAGTATGTATGGTGGTGTGTCAACAGTAATTCTTATGCACATTAAAGTTTATTTTACTACTAAGTCAGTAGTCATTAAACCTTAGTATACATCAGAATCACGTGAAGGACTTGTTAAAATACGAATTGTGGACTCCACCTCCAAAGTTTCTCATTCAGGCTGTCTGAGGTGTTTGTATTTCCAACAAGTTCCAGGTGATGTTGATGCTGCTGGTCCAGACACTACAAGTACCACTTTACTAGGTAATACTAAACAAAAATCAATATACATTCAAGTAATTCTATTGTCAACATAGTTATGAAGTCTCTGGCAATTCACAAGGGATGAACAGCAAATTCTAAAGAGTATTCTTCCTTCTGTTTCAATATTCTCTATTTTTAGTCTTAATGTGAGGTAAGAGCTATGTTTGTTGTTGTGGGAATTAAGCATACACAAATAAATACTGGTACTCTCATGTATGTGCGAATATGTTATTATGCACACACATATATTTGATTAATTTAATTTTGCCTGCCATATCCATAACTACTCAATAAAATTTACTGAATTTGAATCTAAATATTTACATGATAAAATTCGCATAGATAGTAAATATTTGCAAAATTTTAGCATAGAACTTGGACTCTATTTTCAAGCTGTCATTTCCTACAAAGGTGCTTTCTGAACAACCATCATTCTTTAGTCTTTGGGGGTATAGGTGAGGGACATTGTTCTAAAGTCTAATAGCAATTTAACTATGTATATAAGGCTATCCTGATATTCTGATCTGGCTTCCTGTAACTTTGTCACAATATAAATACTTGTTTAAGAAGAGGCATGATTGGTAAACTGACCTGCTTGCAGTGGAGGGATCTTTATAATATTGTAGGCAATTGAAAAATTTTTCCCAAAGCAATTACCAATGTTGTAAACGGTTCCGTCACTTTCAATGTGGGGGTGAGCAGTGGCTCCATTGACTGAGACATAGTTGCAAAGATCAACCTGTGGAAGAAGAATGAATGTCACCCATATTAAGAGAAAAGTGTTTATATCATACGCATTTGGTCCCTAGATCTGCCCCTACCCCTACTCTGAGCAATCTCACCCTAAGCGCACTTCTTCCTTTGTATTTCTCTGAGTCCTATCCATTTGCAAGTTCTCACCTTCCCTACAGAGCTCTCTTACGACACTCATGGGATCCCTCAACCTCTGAAATATTGGCACTTTATTACTTTGATCTCCTTGATGGTGTTCTTCATTTGATGTTTGTCATATACTGCTTTAGTTATTTCTATTTGCACATGCAGCTTGTCCTCAAACAATGATATATTTGAGGCCTGGGACTGTGTTACACTCCCTTACTGTACTAGATTTAATTGTATAAAAATTTTGGTATTCAATCATTTTTTATTTCCAAACAAAACAATTTTGTATGCTGTTGTTGCTGTTATGTGCCGTCAAGTCAGACTCGACTCATAGCGACCCCTCCTTGGGTTTCTGAGGCAGTATCACTACGGAAGTAGATTGCCCCATCTTCCTTCTGAGGAGTGGCTGGTGGGTTTGAACCAGCAGCCTTCTGGTTAGCAGTCAAGTGCCTTAGGCACTATGCTACCAACCTAAATACCAAGCTCAGAGTCTTGCACATAGTATGAGTTTGGAGCCGAAAGGAACAAGGGAACCATGACTCTTCTGGAATTAAATATAAATTTTTTTTTTTTTTAATTGTGCTTTAGGTGGAAGTTTACAGAGCAGAGTTTGTTTTACATTCAACATTTCGTGTACATTTGGTTTTACTCCCCAATTACCATCCCCAAATCTAAACTACTCTTCTCCCCTCCCTGCCCAGTAACCCTCCGCCCCCCCCCCATGCCCTTCATGGTTATCCACTCCTGTGTGTTGCATTTCCTCCACACAAATGTTGCTCCTCTGGTGCCCTGGGTTGATTGCTCCAAGGGATGCATCTCCATAGAGTATATGGGTGCGTCACCCGGGGTTGAGTGGTCTGCGTGTACATCTTATTTACTATTGGGCTGACAGCCAGCCCCTGGGAGTGAGTTTTATTCCAGGCCGAAAGTGTATCCCAGGGCCATAGTATTGGAGGTCCCACTAGAGTCCATCAGACCAGTAATTCTGTTCCTTATTGTGTTTTTGGATTTTGTTTCACATTTTTTCTTCCACACTACCCAGGATCTCCAGTTTTGATCCTTTCCTGAGTAGTTGGCATTGGTAGCCAGGCACCAATGGTCTTCTGGTCTTGAGGTCTATCATGTCTTAGGGCTGATGGCTTCCAAATGCCCCCCCCCCTTTTTTTTTCTTTCCCATTCTTCTTCACTTCCAACAACAGGAGACCATTAGCTGCATCTTAGATGGCTGTTTGAAAACTTTTAAGACCCAGTTGCTACTCCCCAACATAGGTTGTGGAATAAGATTTTTATGTATTTTATTGTGCAGACTGAGTCTGGTGTCCCCTAATACTGTGGTCCTGAGTCGGTAGATCCATTGGATCTCTCCCACAGTGTCTGGCTGTCAGTGAGGGATTGCTCTATGTCTGTCTTCTGTTGTTTCTGTAAGGATTGTGGGTATTTTGTATCACTGGTATCTGTGCAAGATTAGCCTCAGGTGAATCTATCCTTGGTCTAGAGTATAATCCTGTTCACTGACCCCCATCTGATTCTCTTAGATGCTTATGTGTTTATCTGTAGCCTGGTGTTTGGTGTTAATGGTAAAGCAGTATTATGGGTATACTGGTATTAGCCTCTGTCATCTATATCTTATGTGCACAATTCAGTGTTCTCCCTTTCCCTAATGTTATCATGATGGTCACAGACTCTTTCCATATCATCTTTCCTCTTACCCACCTCAGCATATGGCCCCCAACTAGTTCGAAATTATTCCTTCCCCTTCCCCTTCCCACTCTGGTAACCTACAAAGTGAGTTCCCTTCCTTAAGCAAACTCTTCTTTTCTTTTTACAGTAATGAGCTAATACAATATTTGTCCTTCTGTGATTGACTCATTTCACTTAGCAAAATGTCCTCCAGGCTCATCCACTATGTGAGATGATTCATATATCCTTCATTGTTCTTTAATGTAGCATAGTATTCCATTGTGTGAATGTACCATAATTTGGTTATCCATTCTTCTGTTGATGGGCATTTAGGTAGTTTCCTTCTCTTTGCTATAGTGAATTGTGCTGCAATGAACATAGGTGTGCATGTATCTGTTCGCGCCCTGCCTCTCACCTCTTTAGGATATATTCCTAGTAATGGAATTGTTGGCTCAAATGGTATTTCTATTTTCAGTTTTTTAAGGAAACACCATGCCATTTGCCACAATGGTTGTGTCATTTTACAATCCCACCAGCAGTATATAAGAGTTCCAATCTCTCTGCAACCTCGCCAGCATTTGTTATTTTTTGTCCTGTTGAACTTTGCTATGATTGCTGGGGTGAATGCAAAAGTTTTAAAGAGAAGATTTAGTGCTTTAATTTAATTTGGAGTCTCCTAAGCAGTTCAGAGCCACAAATCTAATGCCAGCCTCTCAGTCTGTAGAAGAAGGAATTGAGGTCCTAGAAAGGTCAAGGGACTTGTTCAAGAGCATAGGGCCACACATTGGCAAGATCAGCATTAGAATTTCTACTTGGAAGTGCTCAATAAAGATTGATTGAATGAATAACTAATGGATTATATATTTATCTAACCAAAATTCTGTTTAACTAAAAGAAAAATTTTTAAAGCACAGAGAATTTTTAGCACCCTTATTTAAATCAATTTTCAAGTAATCATTGAACTTCTAGTATGTGCCAACTACTATGCCAAAAACCAAAACCAACCCCACTTCCATCTGTCTAGTCAATTCCAACTTATACCAACTCCCATTGAGTTTCCAAGGCTGTAAATCTTTAGAAAAGTAGATTGCTTCACCTTCCTTCCATGAGGTAGCTGGTGGGTTTGAAAAACCGATGGAATGCTTTACCACCACCAGAGAAACCTGAGAGACTAAAAATGTTGGTGGATGATATATGTTCCATGGGTACTAAGAGTTAAATCTAAATTAATTATAATTAGATAAAACTGCAAAATAAGTTTCTCAGTTGCATTAGCCACTGAGAATTGCACTTAACAATAACAACAACAACAAAAACAAAATTGTTGCTGTTGAATTGATTCCGACTCATGGTGACTCCATGTGTTACAGAGTAGAACAGCTCCATATGGTTTCCTTGGCTGTAATCTTTACAGAAGAAGGCCTTTCTCCTGCAGTGCCATTGAGTGTGTTTGAACTGCCAAGCTTTAGGTTCAAAGCACCTTCCAGGCAACAAATAGCAAGTAGACAATGCATATATATAACATTTTATCATTACAAAATGTTCCATTGCACAATACTGCTTTAGACTAATAAGCTGGTAGATATTGTGGTGAGCGCAAAACAATATTTGTACAGAAAGGCCAACTAACCCAGACTGAGGGGTTAGGCAGGATGTCCTAAAGGTGATGACTCAACTAAAAGATTATTAAAGTTAGCCAGGTGAAGAAGGACGACTATATGTTCCAGGGAGTGGGAACTCTAAGTAACAGCATAATAGTTCAATGTGGCTCCCATGAAGGGTCTGCATGGAAGAGGGAAGTAAGAAGGGGTCAGCTATGAAGGCTGAACTTTATTTTGGATGCCCCAGATGGAGTAACCCATTCACTTTTCATTTTAGAAAAATTATTTCTGCCGCATTAAGAAAGTTGTATGTAAGGGAGATCAAGTGGTTGAAAAAGCACTGGTTAGGAGGCAATTTTGGTAATAGTGAAAAACAAAGCAAAACTCCAATTTTTAAAGCTACATTTGTTAGTGAAGCCAGAGTCCCTGAGCAGTGCAAAGGGTTAACACAGTTGGCTGCTAACCAAAATCCTGGAGGTTGGAGGCCACCAAGAGAATACTTGGAAGAAATGCCCGATGTCTACTTCTGAAAAATCAGCCACTGAAAACATTGGAGCACAATTATATCTTGATATGCATGGGGTTGTCATGAGTATGAGTCAGCCAAAAAGCAGTTGGTTTGTATGTAAAGTCAGGGGAAAATATTGCTCACAGTGGAAATTTATTTCTAATAAAGTCTATTCTGGAGCTATAACAGATTTTCTAATTAAAATACCAATACCATGGGAATTGGAATACAGATTATTTGTCAGAGTCAAATGAGTGGTTTAGAAACTCAGCTTCAATTCTTCTCTAAAGGATCTACCCACACACTCACGTACATCAAAACCAAGAAAGGGCCATCGAGAGTACGTTAAGCCTTAATAATCTGTTCAGAATTATAAATCAGCTTATGATATTAAGAGACCCAGTGTTGGATTTTTTTTTTCTTTCTATTCATGTTGTTGTTATGTGCTGTTCAGTGAAGTCTGATACAAAGTGATCCTACGATGATCCTACTGTCGCTCAGTTGTAGTTCTGGTCTTCATTCCTACATACCTAGTCTTCCAGCTATCTCACGTTTCTTTTTCTTTCCCAAATAGCTCACATTTGGCTTCCAGATTAATCATCCTACAGTATCCACAGCCCATTTGCCGTCATGTCAATTCATAGAATTTCCAAGGCTGTAATCTTTATGTAAGCAGACTGTTACATCTTTCTCCCATGGAGAACCTGGTGGGCTAACTACCTCCCATATAGTTAGCAGCTAAGTGGTGAATCACTATGCCACCAGGTCTCCTTATCCTAAAACACAGCTCTGTTTAAACTATTTCTCTGAGCAAAAACCTATAGTAGATTCCCATTAGTTAAACAATTTACCCCCAAATATTAGCCTATTTTAAACTTTTGACTTCACCTTCCCCTGTATCTCACCACTCCTCTTAGCATTACATACTTTAGGTCACTACTTCTCAACTGGGAGTGATATTGTCCCTCCAGTGGGAAACTTGGAAATGTGAGAGTACTTTTTGCAAGTATACAATGACTGAGGACATAACCCATATTTACCGGAAGGAGCCAAGTATGCTGCACCTCTGCAATGTGTGCGACAGTCCCCACAATGAGCATCTCCGTTGAGAAATACTACAATTCTAACCAAAGAGACTACTCTTTTATTTCCATGAGCATAGTTTCAATTGTCCTGCCTCTATCCCTTCGATCACATTAGTCCCACCATCTGGAATTCTTTCACCCAGAATTTATTTAAATTGTACCTCTCCTTTATGTTAGGACTCAATGTAAGCTCTTTGAAGTTTCCATGATCTGCCCCACCACACATTCCCACAGTTTTCTTCTGTTAAGGAACTCATCATATTTTGTCTCCAATCATAGTTAAGTTGTATACATGTTTGATTTCTCCATCTGTGTGTTGATGTCCCTGAAGACTTAATTAAGACTTCTTAATTAATATTGATTGATAATGTGGATCCCTTTTAATAAGGGATCCACATTACCACCTGCAATGAGATTGCCTAAGGTCTCAGCAATAGTAAAAATAGTAAATAGTAAAAAATAGAAATAACCAAAATCTCAAATTTTTAAACTACATTTGTATGTGAAGTCACTTTCTAATATTGCTGATGTTTTTCTCTATGAGATTTCATTTAGCATATAATTCTATTTCTACTAAGAAGTGTCTACAAGAAAGGGGAAATTGGTGTAACATACTTCCCAGAATCATTAATTGTGAGATTTTTTATATTTGTAAGAATAGCTACAACTTGTGGAGCACCCACTATGCACCAAGGCTCATGCTAGTCTACAAAATGCACGAAAGGCAATAACTATACTGGCTTACTCATTGATGCATCTTTTGCATCTAGCATAAGTTCTGGTACATGAAAAACTCTCAAGAAATATTTGAGGCATGAATGAATGAATACATTAGGCATTTTATGTAGTATTCCTTCAACCCAGACAATAAATTTTAAAAATAATTTTACCTCCCCCATTTCATGGATGAACAAACAAAGCCTGCCCTGTGTCGCATAGCTAGTACTTGGTGAAAAAGCAAGGATTTGAACCTTGATCTGTCTGGCTCTCATGTTTTTTCCACCAAATTTCACAGTTGGTTTCATTCTATGGTCCAAAACCTACATTCCTAAGTGACATCACCTAAGCACTGTGTCCTACCTGCTTAATTGTTTCCAAGGTCTCTGGATTGATCTTTGTAATGAAGTTGGTCTCTGTGCATGCATAGTAATCTTCTCCCACTGGGTAAATATTAACAAGGGCATTGTCAGTAACTTCCACTCCTCGAAAGTAAGAAAAAAATCTGCAGAAGCAAATGAAATTTTCAGACCAATAACTTTCAAGCCATGAGAGTAAAAGGGCTAATAACTACAGTTTGGTTTCAGTTACCTGGAAAATATATTCTTACAGGGATCTGGGAAAGCACAGGTGCCAAATTCTGTTAAGACAATCCTTTTTTCAGTCATCGCCCGTACATAAGCATCAGTGCGGATGAACCTGAGAACATTGAGACATGAGAAAAGGTAAGGACAGGGACAATCAGAATAGTCCATGTGCAGCCTAGAATGGTCATTCTATGTGTCCCCATTAAAATGAGATATCCACAACATGAAGAATGAAGAGGATTATCAATGATCAATTTCTTGGGGTGACCAAAGGAGAAAGAGACAATGTGCCATAACTTTGAATTTTATTATGTCTTATAAAACTCACAATAACAAATGAGGAAATTGAAGCTCAGAAAGTTAAATGATTGGTATATGTACCTGAGCTGGATTAAAACTCAAGTCTGAGAGCTGTACATTACAACATGCACCCCTGCCCATGTCATCCAAACAGGACGTCTGAATTTCTGTAGCATATAATTTATCAGCTTATATTCAATGACTACTACTGATCTATCAGTTTGTCATACTGTGGTCACTTGTGTGTTGCTATGAAGCTGGATGCTATGTCACTGGTATTTCAAATACCAGCAAGGTCACCCAAGGTAGACAGGTTTCAGCGGAGCTTCCAGACTAAGACAGACTCGGAAGAAGGATGGGGCCATCCACTTCTCAAACAATTGGCCAGTGAAAACCTTATGAGTAGCAGTGAAACACTGTCTGATATATTACTGGAAAACTTGATGAATAGCTCTGAAACATTGTCTGATATAGTACCAGAAGATGAGCCCCTCAGGTTGGAAGATGCTCAAAATATGACTGGGGAAGAGCTGCCTCCTCAGAGTAGAGTACACCTTAATGTGGATGCAGTACAGCTTTCAGGACCTCCATTTGCTGATGTAGCATGATTCAGAATGGGAAGAAACAGCTGCAAGCATCCATTAATAACTGGAATATGGAATGCACAAAGTATGAATCTAGGTAAATTAGAAGTTGTCAAAAATGAAATGGAATGCATAAATATCGATATCCTAGGCATCAGTGAACTGAAATGGACTGGTTTTGGCCATTTTGAATCAGACAACCATATGATCTACTGCCCTAGGAATGCCAAATTGACGAGGAATGGCATGGCATTCATCGTTGCAAAGAAAATTCCAAGATCTATCCTGAAGTACAATGCTGTCAGTCACAGGATAATATCCATATACCTACAAGGAAGACCAGTTAATACTACTATTATTAAAATTTATGCACCAACCACCAAAGCCAAAGGTGAGAAAATTGAAGATTTTTACCAACTTCTGCAGTCTGAAATCAACCAAACATACAATCAAGATGAGTTGATTATCATTGGTGATTGGAATACAAAAGTTGGAAACAAAGAAGAATCACCAGCAGCTGGAAAATAATGGCATTGGTGATAGAAATAACACTGGGGATCACAAGATATAATTTTGCAAGACTTATCTAGGAGTTCTGGTAGCCTAAGGCACTTAACTGCTAACCAGAAGGCTGGCAGTTCACAGCCACCAGCCACTCCTGAGAAGGAAGATGTGGCAATCTACTTCCATAGTGATACTGCCTCGGAAACCCAAGGAGGGGTGCTATGAGTCAGGTCCGACTCAACGGCACATAACAACAACAATGACTTATTTATTGCAAATATCTTTTTTCAACAGCACAAATGACAGCTATACACATGGACTTCACCAGATGGAGTACACAGGAATCAGATTGACTACATCTGTGGAAAGAGTCAATGGAGAAGCTCAATATCTTCAGCCAGAATAAGGCCAGGAGCTGACTGTGGAACAGAACATCAACTGCTCATATGCAAGTTCAAGTTGAAGCTGAAGACAATTAAAAGAAGTTCACAAAAGCCAAAATATGACCGTGATTATATCCCTCCTGAATTTAGAGGCCATCTAAAGAACAGATTTGATGCATTGACCACCAATGTCTGAAAACCAGAGGAATAGTGGGATGACATCTAGAACATCATCCACGAAGAAAATGAAAAACAAAACAAAACAAAAAACCAAGCTGACTGCCATGGAGTTGGATCTGACTCATAGCAACCCCTCCATGGGTTTTTAAGATGGTATCACAACTGAAGTAGATTGCCCAATCTTCCTTCTAAGAAGTGGCTGGTGGGTTTGAACCTCCAGCCTTCTGGTTAGCAGTTAAATGCCTTAGGCACTATGCTACCAGAGCTCCCGAAGCAAGTGTCATTAAAAAGACAGGAAAGGAAGAAAAGACCAAAATAGATGTCAGAAGAAACTCTAAAATTGCTTTTGAACAGAAAGTAGCTAAAGTAAATGGAAGAAATGGCAAAATAAAAGAGCCAAACAGAAGATTTCAAACAGCAGCTTGAGCAGACAAAACCAAATACTACAATGAAATGTGAAAAGACCTGGAGTTAGAAAACCAAAAGGGAAGAACAGGCTCAGCATTTCTCAAGCTGAAAGAAGTGAAGAAAAAATTCAAACCTTGAGTTGCAATATTGAAAGATTCTGTGGGTAAAATATTGAATGATGCAGGAAACATCAAAAGAAGATGGAAGGAATACACAGTCACTGCACCAAGAAGAATTGGTTGATGTTCATCCATTTCAGGAGGTGGCATATGATCAAGAACCAATGGTATTGAATGAAGATGTCAAAGCTGCACTGAAAGAGTCAGCAATGAATAAGGCTCCAGCAATTGACGGAATACCCATTGAGATGCTTCAACAAATTGATGCTGTGCTAGAGGCACTCACAAGTCTATTCTAAAAAATTTGGAAGACAGCTACCTGGCCAACTGACTGAAAGAGATCCATATTTGTGTCCAGTCCAAATAAAGGTGATCCCACAGACTGTGAAAATTATCAAACAATATCATTAATATCACACACAAGTAAAATCTTGCTGAAGATAATGAAAAAAACTGTTGCAGCAGTGTATTGCTAGAGAATTTCCAGAAATGCAAGCTGGATTCAGAAGAGGTGGTGGAACTAGGGATATCATTGCTGATATTAGACGGATCTTGGCTGAAAGAAAAGAATAACAAGAAGATGTTTACTTGTGTTTTATTGACTATGCAAAAGCATTCAGTTATGTGGATCATAACAAATTATGGATAAATTGAGAAGAATGGGAATTCCAGAACACTTAATTGTCCTCATGAGGAACATGTACAAAGACTAGGAGGCTGTTGTTCAAATGGAATAAGGAGATCCTGCATGGTTTAAAATCAGGAAGGGAGTGTGTCAGCGTTGTATCCTTTCACCATACTTATTCAATGTATATACTGAACAAACAATCCAAAAAGCTGGACTGTATGAAAAAGAATGTGGCCTCAGGATTGGAGGAAGGCTAATGAACAACCTGCAATATGCAGATGACACAACTTTGCTTGTTGAAAGTGAGGATGACTTGGAGCACTTACTGATGGAGATTAAAGACTCCATTCTGCAGTATGGATTACATCTCAACATAAAGAAAACAGAAATCCTCACAATGGAACCAAAAAGCAGCATCACAATAAATGGAGAAAAGATTGAAGTTGTTAAAGAGTTCATGTTCCATCTTCAACACCAATGGAAGCAGCAGGCAAGACATCAGACAATGTATTGCACTGGACAAATCTCCTGCAAAAGACCTCTAAAGTGCTGAAGAGTAAAGATGTCTCCTTGAAGACTAAGGTGCACTTAACCCAAACCAAGTTGTTATTATGTGCCCTTGAGTTGGATCTGACTCATAGTGACCCCTCCTTGAGTTTCCGAGGTGGTATCACTACGGAAGTAGATTGCCCAACCTTCCTTCCAAGGAGTGGCTGGTGGGTTTGAACTGCCAGCCTTCTGGTTAGCAGTCAAGTGCCTTAGGCACTATGCTAGCAGAGCTCCCAACCCAAGCCATGGTATTTTTATTCGCCTTACATGCATGTGAGAGCTGAACAATGAACAAGGAAGACCAAAGAAGAATTGATGCTTTTGAGTTGTGGTGCTGGCGAAGAATGCTGAAAGTACCATGGACTGCCAAAAGAACTAATAAATCTGTCCTGGAGGAAGTGCAGGGGGAATGCTCCTTGGAAGTGAGAATGGATAGACTTCATCTCACCTACTTTGGCCATGTTATTAGAAGGGATCATTCCTTTGAGAAGCATAGCATGCTTGTAAAGTGGAGGGTCAGTCAAGAAGGAGAGGGCCCTCAACAGATTGAATTGACATGACAGCTGCAAAGATGGGCTCAGGTATAGCAAGGATTGTGATGCTGGCACAGGACCAGGCAGTGTTTAGTTCTGTTGTATGTAGGGTTGCTCTGAGTCTGGGCCAAATCGACAGCACCTAATGACAACAGCAACAACAACACACTCAGTGGGGAAATATAAGGATATGATACACTGAATATGTTCCTTTTATTAATTCTGTCTCTCTTGTATTTATTGTGAATTATAAAATTTAATTTGCTGCTTATTAAAATTGATTATTCTTGAGTTCAATCTCCTGTACAGACAGACCTCCTGAGACATCCCAAACTCAATGTCACAGTTGCCTAGACTTTCTCATGTGGTGAACCAATTAAAATCTGATGTTAGACTTTCACGAAGAAGAAAAAGAACCAAGGTTTTTTGAAGGCATGTGAAAGCTTTGTCTGACCTCCAAAATATACTCTCATCCCTAAATTTTTCCTTGGACAAAGTATTATAAGATCTGTTTCTGGTCTTTTACATTCTAACATATCTTGACTACTGTAGTTCAAGTCTTTTCCTTTTGAAGTCTCTTCACAATACCTGGATCAACAAAACCACTAACAAACCTGAATATTAAAGTATAAAAAAACTGACTTATAGTGGTGTTAGTGGAAGCTTCCTAGAGTGATAGCTTAGCCCTTTAATCCCCTTAGCAATAGTTCTCATTTTAGAAACTTTGTCTTTATTGCCTCACTATGCCATGCTTGGTTACTTTTTCCTTTGTGGCAACCGTCCTTCCTTCCCAGTGGCCTTTCTGACTATATATAAAAAAGAATCAAAGTAGCCAATGGTCTACTACTACTACTACTACTACTACTACTACTACTACTAAAACATCAATAGCCATAACTGTTATTACTATGGAATACTTCCTATGTTCAGGGCACTGGGTTCTCATTTAATCCTTATAATAAACTTACAAAGAAGTTTTTATTATTTCTTTCATTTTACAGATGTCAAAACCAAGAATTAGATGTTGACACTTGCAAAGCTTGCTCTCCTAGTCTGGTGGATATAGGATTTGAAGCCAGACACACTGTACCATAGAACGCTAGTTTTTAGCTTCTTCTTTAACCTATATTATGGCTCCTAGGTGTCCATGTAGACCTAGGTGACCTCTTGGCCCAGGTGGCTTCTGTGAAAGAAGAGGACATAGGCTTTCTCCTGGGTTCAGGAGGTTGAAAAGCACATTGGAGGAGGAGACAAGCTAGAAACTCACCCTCCAAGAGGAGGAGCTAGGCCTAGTGTTCATTTACCTTCTATGGTATGTCACATGTCCATCTTTGAAGTCAAACTTGTGCAGGAGGGCTTGCCCATCAAACAGATGGTAAAATGGCTCAGATCCAACTTCAAAGAGACCTGGCCCACATCGGAGGAGACTGCCAGTGAGCCACAAGGGAAGTCTGCCTGGATGGAGGTGAGAAACAGAACACCATTTTTTACGTTGGCCCTTTCATGCTAACTGAAAGATTGGAGGTACAAGTCCACCCAGAAGCTCCTTGGAAGAAAGATCTGGCCATCTACTTCTGAAAAATCAGCCATTGAAAACTCTATGAAGGACAGTTCTACTCTGATGCACGTGAGTTGCTGTGAGTTCAAGTCGATTCAATTGTAACGAGAAATTGTAATCAATTGGACTGGGTTAAGGTGGTGTGATTATATTAGCATCCTGATTGGGCAGCCTCTTCTTTACAAAGCTGGCAGAATGATTTTCCTTCCCAGTTCTCTTGTTAGACAGCACTTAGCAAATGCCTGCTGACTTGTCTCTCCTTTCACTAGGATACCAAATGGTAGGACACATATTTATAAGCGAATTAAAATGTCTCAGGTATTGAGCTAGGCATAGCCAGTCAATGATGACAAAGATGTAGCCCCACTATTCAAGAAATTCCAGTAAAGTAGCATTTTCTACATTAGAAACATGAAGAAAAGTTAAATGAGAGGAACTGGACTTTTGGTTTAAAAGCCGAAGGTGCCAGATTCCCCTCCTTGTATCCCACACCCTGAAGAGGTAGTGAGAGAAACCAGTGACTGAAAAGCCAGAGAAGAGAGAGAGAGAGCGACAGAAAAGATTGGATGGCTCTAATATGAGAGAGACCTACCTGTAACATGAGCTGTTAGTGGGGAGGAAAGTTCCTCCACAGTTTCGAACAGTTTCTTGTAACCTGCAGCAGGATGCTCCATTCTGAAATAGTACAATAGTCAGGAACAAACTCATGTTGACACTCAGAGAAGTCCATGAAGACAGAGGCAAAGCTCCAGAAGAGAGTGCTCTCTGGCTCAGTGTTAATGCCCTGCTGCCAGTCTAGCCTCAGCTGGGAAGTATGTGGTGCTTACGGAGGACCACAACGTTCTCAGGTAGTCAAGCGAGTCCCCCACCCCCACCCTCACCCTCACCCCCGTTCAGAGCTTCTCCTTTCATGTCAGGAGAAATGACGTCTTTCTTACTTTTTTAATGTCAGTGGTCACAGTAGACTTAATCCTACCCTTTATAACTTTCCTATATTTCTGAAGACAAATCAACTTATCCTGCAGCTGTTACTTTTCTTCTGACACTTTGAACTTTCTCACAGGAACTCTGGTGGCTCATTGGTTAAGGAATTTGGTTGTTAACCAAAAGGCCAACAGTTTGACAAGTTTTGCACAAGTTTGACTTCAAAGATGGACATGTGACATACCATAGAAGGTAAATGAACACTAGGCCTAGCTCCTCCTCTTGGACGGTGAGATTCTAGCTTGTCTCCTCCTCCAATGAGCTTTTCAACCTCCTGAACCCAGGAGAAAGCCTATGTCCTCTTCTCTCTCAGAAGCCACCTGGGCCAGGGGGTCACCTAGGTCTACATGGACACTTGGGAGCCATAACATAGGCTAAAGAAGAAGCTAAAAACTAAGGTTCTATGGTATGGTGTGTCTGGCTTCAAATCCAACAGCCACTCCACAAAGAAAGAAGAGGTAGTCTTCTTCTGTAAATATTTATGACCTTGGAAACACCAAGGGGCAGTTCTACTCTGTCCTATAGCATCACTGTAAGAATTGACCCCATGGCAGTAGATTTGTTTTTTGGTTTTGATAAAGTACCAGGCTAAGAGCTCATTTCCTCATTCTGCAGTTGGTGCCAGAACTCTTAGTCCTTGTGAAAGCCCTGGTTGCACAGTGGTTAAAGTGCTCAGATGCTAAAAGAAAAGTAGGTGGTTCGAACCTACCAGCTGCTCCGAGGAAGAGAGATGTGACTGTCTGCTTCTGTAAAGATTTACAGCTTTAGAACCCTATGGGGCAGTTGTCTTTTGTCCTATAGGTTGGAATTGATTCATGGCAATGGGATTTTTTTTTTTTTTTTGGTATCCTTACTCTCAAGGAGCCTTGGTGACTCAGTTGTTAAGTGATTGGCTGCTAACTAAAAGGTTGGTGGTTCGAACCCACCAGTTGCTCTTCAGACTTGACAATCTGTTCCTGTAAAGATTTCAGCCTAGGAAACCCTATGGGCCAATTCTACTCTGTCCTGTAGGGTTGCGCTGAGTTGGAATTGACTGGACAATACACCACCATGACAACAACATCCATACTCTCACTGCATCATTGCTTTCCTTGTCTCACTGAAAGAATCATGCCTCTCCTTCCTAGAGGGTGGAGGACAGCAGCTTTGCGGGGTCAAAGACCTCATACTTTGTTATTCATCCATATCATACCACCATCTCTTCCCGTCATCTCCTTTCTCCACTAATCTTTAGGAGTTACAATATATATATATAATAATTGGAGAGTGTGATCAGAATGCCAACTCTAAAACAAACAAAATAAAACAAACTTACTTCATTAAAGTCGTTTCTGACTCATAGTGACCCCTCCTTGGGTTTCCGAGGCGGTATCTCTATGGAAGTAGATTGCCCAATTTTCCTTCTGAGCCTACTCTAAGAAGCTATAAAAATATGCCAAGTGAGGAGGTAGGAAGTGAGAAAATCTGGAAACTGAATTGCTGCTCTTAATATTAGAAGAAAAATAAAAATTTTTATATATAAATTTTAATTTTTTTCCTAATATTATTTCCCAATTTATTGTTATTATTATAATTATTTTCTATATTAATATATTATATTACTATATTGCTGATCTTGATATTAGGAATTTATATATATAAAGTTTTATTTTTTTCCTAATATTATTTCCTAATTTATTATTACTATAATTATTTCCTAATATTAAGATCAGCAATTCAGTTTCCAGATTTTCTCACTTCCTGCCTCCTTACTTTGGCTATATTTTTATAGCTTCTTAGATTAGGCACTCTGATCACACTCTCTAATTATTATTGTGTTGTTGTATTCCATTGAGTAAACACTATGTGCCACACACCATGCAAAGAACTTTGCATGCTATTGTTGTTGTTGTTATGTGCCGTCGAGTCAGACCCAACTCATAGCGACCCTTCCTTGGGTTTCTGAGGCAGTATCATTTCAGAAGTAGATTGCCCAACCTTCCTTCCAAGGAGTGGCTGGTGGGTTTGAACTGCCAGCCTTCTGGTTAGCAGTCAAGTGCCTTAGGCACTATGCTACCAGAGGTCCCTTGCATGCTATTGGCTCATTAAAACCTCCAAACACACAATAGGGTAAGTGCTGTTGTTATGCCCATTCTATGTGTGGAAAAAAAAATAAGTGAAGCTTAAAGAAAGTAAGTACTTCGCCCAAAGTCACACAGCTAGGAAATAGCTGGACAAAAAGAGGATCTGACAACTCCCTAACTAAAATCCCCAGTTATTAATGTAATGCTTTTGAACCTCATTATAAGTTACACAAATTCAATGCTATTTAGATCTGGATTCTAGCTATTTGCTTTAATTTGTAAATAGGAAGAAACTCCCCTAATGAGACTGAAGGGCTTTCCCTAATCAGGTCATCCTTCAATGGCTTCTCTTCAGGAGCTCTTGAAATAACCCATTTACCATTAATCCCACTAAAGCATTTTTAAAAAAGTCTCCCAGAGGCACTTACTGGATGGACATTTTCTTTCCGTGGAGGAATGAGAGTTCTGGCACCAGCAGTAGAATGAGGGAGCAAGCCCTAAGCCTGGTACTTTATATTGCTTCTAGAAAGCCCTGAAAGGGGTATGGCATTGTGAGCACTCCCCCATCTCCTCAGCTGAGGGAAGGGGAACAGAAGTGGCTTTCAGTGCACAGATCCTTCTGATGTTTGAGTGTTATTTGGGCTTGCCATTCCCAGAACAATTTTTTGATAATTTTCCAGAGACTTCAATCCTTCCTAAGGAAACTAATAAATGGATTAGAAGAAAAGGGCTGTACGGAGTGGCCAGTATCAGACTTAAGCTGATCTCGGTCACTGCACTGGGACTTGGCACCACTTTCTGGTTCCCACCTCCCTCTTTTATTTATTCATTCACTCAGCTTTTTTTTTTTTTTTTTAATTAAAATCTATTACATCTATGGACCAAACACATTTGGACACTGCCCCTGTCTTCACAGATCATAAAACTCTGCAAGGGTAATAGGAAACTAACAAGCTATCTCATAAAAGTTGATTGGGCTAAGGTTGGAGGAGCATTGAGTGCTACAGAGTATGTGTTGTAGCATAGTAACACTCTCGGGTCACCTTTACTGGCTCTATTCAATGCCTCAGTTCTCCCTACCAGGCTGAGAACTTTAGCTATGTCCTTTTGATTTGCTGAGGATGAAAATCTTTTCATGTCCTTGCTTGTCATTAATGCCTTCCTGTGCTCCAGCTCATCTGCCTGCCCACTGGTATGTGTTCTGTCCTCACAGAGTATGTAGAACTATTTCATTCATTTTTCTATACTCTCTAAATAAGCTTCAGTTGTGCTCCAGCATAGATTTGATAGAAAAGAAAATAAGCAATATGCTTTTAAAAATATGATATGGAAAGATTAAAAGTAAAATAATGGAACAATACATGTTTGTCATATACGAACCAAAAAACAGCTATGGTAGCTAGCTATATGAGTATAAATTGAAAGAGACCATAAAGAAGAAAGCATCATTAGGGATGTTGTTGTTGTTGTTGTTAAGTGCCGTTGAGTCGTTTCCGACTCATAGCAACCCCATGCACAGCAGAACGAAACACTGCCCGATCCCGCGCCAGCCCCACAATCCCTGCTATACTTGAGCCCATCATC